CAGAAACAATTCTTAAAACATTGCAGTTTCCGTAGCAGAAGTCAAAGTCAAAGCATTTATTTCAAATAATCCTTAATTAGGTACTTTTGAAACGACAGTAAAAGTATCTATCCGCCTGTTTGTTAGTGTAGCAAGATGCTCGTTCGAACAAAGTGTAGTTTCGAATGGAGACCGTTAAAACATCGAACAGAAACGATCTAATGGTGATTATAGCAAGTCCAAAAATACAAAATACACAAGTAAAACCAAACAAAACACTAGTCCAAGCGATTAAGGCACTACAAAACAAAACGACAGCCAATAAATTAATCGTTGCAACTGTCATGGGCCTGCGCAAATGTCACTCTTTACGTCATCGAATCTTCCTAGTGTAATCTGCGCTATGTTTAGCTGTTTGACGTCATCACTGCACTAGATCTGAAATAGTACCTAGACTAGATTTGTTTATTGTTATTTTTAATTAGACTGTTAAAGTAGATAGAGAATTGTCTTTTGGATGGGGGATTAGCGGTTCAAAAGTGTTGTAGGTGTAAAATTTTCAGATAAGAGACATTATCTAACTATTTCAGTCATTTTGTTCAATTCAATGCATCGTTTTGGGAAAAAAAATGATTTTTTATTCAGTTTTTCTAGTTAAAGTCAGTCATGTAAGCATAGATCCACATACAATCATTTTGGAATCGCCAAAATAGAGCTGTCTGCCAGCCTGTCTATGAGTGAAGCTAGGTGCTCGTTCTAATCTTTCTTACTGCTGTACTCTGTAATTTTTGACGATTATTTAACAATTGCTAAATCCTGTGTTAAATAACTTTACCTAAAGCAGTTGTCTCAAAAGAAATTAAAACAGGAAGGAACCTTTTCGGGGGGGTCTTATTGCAAAAATTGCAATCCCATAATAAATTGCGTATTATAACTTCAAACCATCTGTTTCGTCCAAAATCGAGGTAAACTAAATATATTTCGAGAGTTTCAACCAGGTGGGTTATTCGGAAGTGTAGAAAAAATTATACAGGGGTGCGTCTAAGGATCGTTTCCGCCGGAACCATCCGAATCCGATTTTATCTTCGGTACATTTTTGGGGGAAATTGTAATTGGACACTTGGTGTTTGAAGTGGCTTTGATCGATTTTTTATACTTTACAATACACAGGTTTTATTATATGGTGTTTGTAAGTCTGTTTAAAAGTGTGGTTACACAAGTGTGAATGGTAGTCAAGTTAGACAGGAATATGGTTGATGACTAATTTTTATTTTAATGTCCGTCTGGTAGATTATTTAAAACATGTATTTTTAATTTTTTACAGAAACGAATACTTTCGTTGATATATTGATTTGAAATGTCGCGTGACGTCAGTTCTGTGTACGTTTTATACGTAGAAATGACTTTTTAGCCCCCACTCCTAAACTTTGATTCGTTTTATCTAAGTATCATTTTATTACGTGTCTAATATGTTTTCATTACCTAACTGACGGACTAATTAGATTTTTAATTTTCATACTCTGTCATCATCCCTATTGTCGATTACCTCTAATAGTATCTTTCTCTTTGATTCACATCGTTGCGGGAACCAAGACAGTTACTCATGTCCCTGGGACGTTGGACTTCAGTGTTTCGGTGTTTGCATGCTTGTATCTACTGTAAATCCTGGTTCACTGGTATTTACTAGCTTCAAATGGCTTTAAATCTTCTTTTGTTTGAGACGTAAACTCAAGTTTTGGGATTCACAACCCGGTGCGACATTTCAAAGTCAGAGATGTCGAAACTACACATTTTTGCTGTACTCTAATTACAATTAAGAAATAATCTTATAGTAATGGATGTGGCTCTATTTGAAACTTAAGACTTCGAATATTTATTTACCTTGTATTGATCCTTGTTACACTTACTCCCCAAACCAATGAAGCATGCCTAAATACCAATATATGCTCCAAAACGAAAGCCAATTCCATTATCAGAAAAAGATTATCGTACACTTTACCAAGTGTTACAATTTCGACCCCTCTAAGAACCCCCTTATGCCTCGTTCACACTACTCTAATGTATCAGCCGAGTTGCGAGTATTTAGTAGCTCCCTCTCTCACTTCGATTTTGGGACAGAAGCGAGTAGAAGCTCGCTACTCGATCAAATTACTAGCACAGCCCGAACAAGGCATCAGCTCTCTTCCCATTTCAACTTCGATCGAACAATAGCCATTTTATTACACATCCCCTTGAGAACATGTTATAATAAACACAGATGTACCATCGGAGGGTAAGCAGCGCTGTAGGTGTTTGGGTCAGACTATTAATAAGGGAGGGGATCAAAGCTAATCCCTTAAAGGAAGGGTCAACGTATAAATAGTAATGAGTTTTAAATTTTAAAGGGTACGAATTTGCCGATTGGTTGAAGGCTGCAGATTTTTTTGCGTTCTTAGACTATATTATGTAAGATGTTTTAAATAAGCTATAGCTACGTATAAGGTAATATAATAGGAAGATTGTGGTGTTTCTTGCTATAAGGGCTCGTACACAAAACTGCAAAGTGATGTTATGCGAATTCGCAACGCAAAAAAAGACGATGCGAATTGCTGTGATGCGATTTAGTGCGACAAGGCGTCTCCCAGGGTGACCATTCCTTCGACGACCGTCAACCGTATTAAACGTATTTTAAATTGAAAACTAGGATGTGACATTGATCGTAAAAAGAAATGTGCACTTCTGTTATTGTTTAGGAGATACAGGAAAAAGAAACGAAGAAGATTTTGGGAAGATAAGTTTTTCATGTAGAGGGAGCCCGCAAATTTTCGGCTCGTACACCAACTTAATCATGAAATTGTGCAACAGGCCCTTAATAGAAATGACACTTCACTATCATTACTCGAAAATTATTCGCTAAATTGAACGCGCTCGTGTCACGTTACGTCACTTCCTCTATTAACGGAAGTGACACGTGCTCGCCCCCCAGCTAGTCTATGGTTTAAGTATTATTTGATAGGGGTTGTATTCACAGTATTGTCTCATTTTGTTTTTCGAAGACTTGATTTCTTTTTGTTTGATTTTTGTCGTTATATTGGTTCTAGAGCTTGATTATTCTAATGTAAATTAGAAAAGACACATTCATATGGATCATCTTTCACAGCTTATAAATGCCCACTGCTGAGCAAAGCCTCTTTCTTCTCTCTCACACGGAGAAGGTTTTAGCATTAATAGCCATGCTTGCTCAATGCGGGTTGGCGATTTCAAACTTATAATTAGAAATTATAAGCCCAGGTTTCCTCACGATGTTTTCTTTCACCGTTTGTCAGTCAGTGGTGTCTGAATAATCTTAGAAAGTAAATATAACTCTGAAAAAGGAATATCTCATTGGTACTTGCCGTTGGTAGGTTTCGAACCCTCCGGGCCACCACGATATGACAAACGACATTCATGTGGATTACCCAGATTAAAAATAAATATATTGTCATGATATCAGTGATAAGAACTCTACTGCTGGACCTAAGTCTCTCCCAATGACTTCCATCGGCCGGTTACTATCACTATGCAAACATTAGCTTAGCTCAAACTATAGCCAGATTAGTGAACAATCCTTCTCTTTTACTTTACGCAATCAAAACAATCTATCTATCTATATAAATAAAAATGAAGTTCCGTTCGTTAGTCTCGTTAAAACTCGAGAACGACTGAACCGATTTGACTAATTTTCGCCTTGAATTGTTCATGGAAGTACAGGGTAGGTTTAAAAGGAAAAAAATAGGCGGTATGAAGTTTGCCGGGTCACCTAGTCAAGGATAAAAGACCCATGCTCTTGAATATTACTTACAACTTTTACAGCTTTTAACTTTAAAATATTAATGTACTTTTTAACAACCCCTACATTGTTCCAACAAATATCTCCATATATACAAGTACCTACATAAAAACTTTTTAATTACCGAGACTTGTTCCAAAATTGTAATTAAAGAAAATATCCTTTTAAGCATCGGCTGCGCGTAGGCAAGCTGCGCACTGCGCACATCTGCTGCGCAGGTGACGCGACGCCATTTTGTAGTTATAGCGAGGGGAGATACAATGGTCGGTCTTAGGGGAGCCGACAAGAATTGCATTGTCATACTAGGCTCATTATAACTGTAAGAAATTATATTTCGACAAGTTTGGCGAAGTATTATTGGTACTTGGATAAGTAACTATAGACAGTTTTGTCTGAAGTAAGATAACATAACATAATGCATTTTATCCCCGGAGGGGTAGGCAGAGGTGCACATTACGGCACTTAATGCCACTTTACAATGTAACACCCACTCACTATTTATGTTATGTATGAGTGAGAATATTTTAGTACCTTCGATGAAATTGGTAATATGGTTATCAATGTTGGTGCAATCATTGGTTGATTTGTAAATTGGTGTAAATGATTTTCGTTTTACACGCTCGATATTTGTTTCGGTTCATATCTTGCGTGCTCTGGTCTTTATAGGCTAGACCATGATTGTGTTGATTTTATGAAGATTGAAGCTATTAATGGCATAGTAGATTTTTTTATACATCTGCCAAGAAGTCACGTAAACGGAATGTTTTATTTCGTAGGGATTTAGATCATAATTGTCATTAAAGTTCGGACGTTTTTGTAATATTGTCGTATACAATAATGTGTCCTATTTCTTTTTCTATACATTAACCTCTTAACAACTAATCTCCGCCGTCTATAACACCCAAACACCTTTAGGGAACAGAAAGCAAAGTTCCCTAAGATCGGAAAAGGAGGATCCTCCGACCAGGCGAGGTGATCGTGCCTGGCGGGCTTTCTGCCCAACAGTCGTTCGTTGGGATTTTCTATCCGTGTTAATTCGCATGTAAACTTCATATGTGCGATGTAGGATTTTGTGACGTTATCTGTTGATTTGTTTCATCAACGGTCTATGTGCGTGAGCTATCACTTGACATGTGTCGCCAAATACCCTTCAAAATCTTCACCCATTTTCAAAATAACCTCATAACTTATGACCTCCATTCTCTTGTTGCAGCGCCCCGAACATCATGCTCAGGTGGAACTCCAAACAACCTCCCGCCTCTTGGCTTCCATTCAGTCCATGGAGAGAATGTCAGGGTCTCCAGGGACGGCTCCATGGCTCGTCGCGTGGAGTCCTTCTGCAAGGGTGTGGCCTTCAGCGCAAGACCTGTCAGGGTTAATGAGAAGGTGAGTTGGTGTGATGAAGGTTTTTTTGTATATAGATGTTAACTAGGAAAAGATTTTTATCAATTTCGATGGCATTTGAAAGATGATTTACTTGTATTAAATAATTTTGGACTAAATTGCTTGCTTGAAAATGGATTAATTCCTTTATATCGGAACTTTGAATAATTATGACTAGAGATTCAATGGATGTTTCGTTTACTTTTGATTTTGACAATTACTCTTTTAATTCTACCATTTAGCTACGAATGCAGCAGGCACTAAACCAAAATAATTTCTGTTTGCAGGTGTGCCTACGCTTCGTCGAAATTTCAAACAGTTGGAGTGGTGTTATCCGATTTGGATTCACGAACCACGACCCCGCCACACTCGCGCACGCGCTCCCTAAATACGCGTGCCCAGACCTCACAAACAAACCTGGCAACTGGGCCAAAGCCCTCGGCGAAAGATTTTGCGAAAAAGACAATATTCTTTATTATTATGTCAATTCTTCTGGAGACGTCCATTTCGGAGTAAACGGGCAGGATAAAGGTCTGTTCTTCTCAGGAGTCGACACACGAAACCCTCTATGGGCGCTAGTAGATGTCTACGGGAACTGTACAGCGGTTCAATTCGCGGATCCTCGAGCCCCGAGCCAAAGGAGACACAGCCCAGTTGAGGAAGATAGACTAGTAGGTAGCATGAGGTCTTTAACCATGGAGGAACCTCTCCCACCTCCTAGATACCAAAATCCTCTGGTACCGCTCAGTCTACACAGAACTAAGGGAAGAAACGTCCAATTTATAAATGATAGAGGCATTGCTGCGAGAGCTGACGCAGAATTCTGTCAAGGATACGTCTTCACAGCTCGTCCTATGCGTCCAGGGCAGACTATTGTCGTCCAAATCCTAGCCACTGAAGCGGCTTATGCAGGCAGCTTAGCTATTGGCTTAACATCATGTGATCCAGCCACCTTAAGACCCTGTGACCTACCTGATGATGCAGAATTACTTCTAGACCGTCCGGAATATTGGGTAGTTAGACGGGACGCTGCAAACGGTCTTCGAAGAGGAGATGAACTAGCTGTGACCCTTACTATGGACGGAGAGGTCCGTGTAAGCAGGAACGGGTCTACTCCAGTCACAGTTATGCATGTCGACCATACGCTAAGGCTATGGGCCTTTGTGGATATCTATGGAGCTACGCAGAAAGTCAGAATGCTCAGCACTCAAGTGGTGCAGCAAGCTCAAACTCCTCCTCAGCAGTTGAGGGTTCTAACAGGTACCGCAGCCCCTGTCACAGCGGGAGCCGGTGGAACTGTTCTCGTGGTTAGTCTACCACCTCAGAATGGAAGCCAGAATGCAAATAATCAACAGAGTTTGACTCTTGCTAGCGCGCATTATATTGAGGTAGGTTGAAATTGAAAGGCTATATTTTTCAAATTTTCAGTTTTTTTACCTCTGATAAAAAGACAGAAGTAGTTTGTCGCTTTGTTATTACTCCGATGTAATAAGAGGCGAGTGCATTGCCAATAAATACATTAACGCATTTCCAAAAAAATGAACTCAATAATACTTTGCTCCTAATCATTTCTATTTCTCCTTCCAGCCCATCCAAACGACATCACAGCTCTGTCTAACCGGACTACAAATCAACCAGCCGACAACCTGCAACTATCAACCACAACCAACCCGCCCACGACCAGACAACCAGTGCTCATCGACGAGCCAAAACAACTTGAACGAGCAGGCACAACTCCCCAACGGGCATTCAGAACCTTTAAGACTTGCAGACAGGCTGCAAAATGGGCCTTCAACCAGTCGCCATCAACCCATATACTCCGTAATTGGCGAAGGTGGGACAACTGGTAACCTTACAGGGACGGAATGCACAATTTGCTACGAGAATCCCATAGATTCTGTGCTGTATATGTGTGGGCATATGTGTATGTGCTACCGATGCGCAGTCCAACAATGGAGAGGTAAAGGTGGGGGACAATGTCCCCTATGTAGAGCCCAAATCAAAGATGTAATCCGCACATACAAATCTTGATATGTTAGATGCCAAAATTAATATTTAATCCAAAAAAATGTGTATATATCTGGTATTTAAGGTTAGGTGAGGATTGTACTGAAACCAGATCCGGATTAAACCTGAGGCGAACTAGACAAGTGCCGGGCGCCAGGTTACAGAGGGGCGCTGCGAGACGCGCGTGCACAACTGACCTATAAAAGTGAAAGGGGCGCCCATGAGGTGCTTGTCTGGGGCGCCCTTTAGGTTTAATGCGCCTCCGAATGAAATTGTAAAAAAGAGGGTGGAAAATTCGTTAAAGTTTAAACGCGTTTGTACATTTTTTGACCGGGTTTCAGTACAAAAATTGTTTAGAAACTAATATTAATTAATATATGAATAATAATAATATATTTAAATTGCGTTTCGGGTTAAGACGGTTATTTATATTGGCGGCGGATGTAAACGGCTATGATTGGTTAAAAGTTGACATGTCATACAGACCAGCGTTTTTATTTTCAAGTTTATTCCCTTGTAAAGAGGGTAGGAAATCGTTTGAAGGGTAACAGAAATTGCTTTAACTTGATCAGCTGGCGAGTCTGTGCTTTAATTGGCAGTATTTTGGTTAGTTTTGAAACTGACTGGTTATTCGTTAAGATTTTTCAAAAAATAACGGCTGAAGTGCCAGTTTCAAAATGTTTATGATTTCTTTTATAATAATGTCCGTCTGGTAGATTAGTTAAAAATATTCGACACGTATTTTTTCTTTCTTTTTTGTGACAATGTTTTTCTGATCGTTTGAAATAGCGTATGACGTCACTCCTTAGTACATTTTTATGGTTAGGAATGACGTAACGAGTTTTTATTACTAAATTTTATTCTCGTTGTATCTTAGTACTGTTTTCTTATAAAATACTTGTCTAATATTTGTTCATTGTCTAACTGATGGACAAAAAGAAATTAAATATTGAAATTGACTTATTGTCATTATTTTTCTGCAATTTTTATCTTTCTTGCTAATTTACTTGCAATGTCTTGTAAAATTTTGTTTGTTCTATTCTTCAGTATTTCTGAACATTTTGAAACTTACACTTTAAAAGGTTATTCTCAAAAAATAGGATTCAAAAGCTTAATTATGTAGCGGGATGACATGGGTCGAAAATTTTATACAAAATATTTTTTTTTAATAACAAAAACTACGTTGCTTTGACCTTTTTTTAATTTCTAAGACATGAATATAATTACGATAAAGGGCTGATTTTAATATCTACTGCAGTGCGGTACAATATTAAACAAATGATTTTTTTTTAATCACAAAAGCGAATTCATTAGAACATCAATTTCGAATTAATGTTATAGAAAATTCAACCTTATTTCTATATACACATTATTCCTTTCGAGTTAAAAATAAGACGAACGACTTCGGCCACATTCGTCAGAATTCGGCAGTTGATCGTCAATTTTTGTCTTTGAATGAATATGTGCATTAGTTCGCATAAACAAGGAACAAATTTGCTTTATTGATTCTGTGCTAACATGACACTTAACTGACAAACAATATATTATGATTAAATCCGATGCTAGTAATTTTATTCAGACACATTTAAATGATTACTTGAACTCATCATTAATAAACATTAACAGGCTATAGGTAGCCACTGCTGACCAAAGCACGGAGAAGGTTGGAAATTGATATATTTTAAATTTTTTTAGTTAAAAATTCAGCCCCAATTAGGTTTTAAAGCGAGGCTATGTTCTGTATATAATGTAGGTATTCTAAATAAATAAGATATAGGTACATAAGACTTATATTTTATGCAATACTTTTCTTAAACTCTCTGTCCGATCCGTGAAAGTCAAACGTCAATGTCATCAATGTCATCATTTCATTACCGGTCTGTGTACTATATTATTACTGCATCGTTCTTCTCTCGTGGATAACAAATGTCAATAATTTATCAGTCAATGTCAAATTCAAAATCAATGTCAAAGTCAATGTCAAATTCAAAATCAATGTCAATATCAACACCAATGTTAAAGTCAAAATCATTTATTCGACGGTTCATTAATCTGTCACCAATCAACACTGGCAGTATAGTCGACAACATCGTATTGGAGACTCGGTTGCCAAAGAGGAGAAAAATCGTTTATTTAAATTAGACTTTTTGTAACCTATATAAATTATTACGTTTTCGGCTTACTCACGTAATAATTTGACGAGGAACTCGACTAGTTTCAAGCCATGATAGAGGATCATATTCATGAGCAGCATTCCGCGACCTGCGACGCGGCGACTGTCGCGCCGCTGCTCGCTTGTAACTTGAGGATATTATGGCTCTTTCGGATCGGATAGTAGTTTTTGAAAATGTATTGAATAAAATAATTTGGAGCAACTTTGCCTTAAATTTATGTGTCCCCTTTGAAAGAATCGTTTAATATTGTTTTCAAAAGTAACGCCTTGTTATTAGGTCTTATTTAGATATGTATAATTAGAACTTTGAACATACATAATGAAATTATTTTGTTTTCTATTAATTATTATTAGCGTATTTACAAAAATATACAAGTTTATTATGTATTATATAATTAGCGCTGCTGAAGACAAATTGACAGTGAATAATATTCTAATTTTTTAGTAAAATATCCGATAGATGTCGCTCTTGAAACGTTTTAGTTACAAAATTTCTCCATAGATGGCGTTCTTATAAATTTTTCAATAGGGCACAAAACTTTAAGAAAAACGATTGTATGTACGTCCATGACACTATTGTAGGCATTTAATAATTATTAATTATTATAATCATATCATAATCTTTAATTATTAACGTGTGTTAGTCTGAAATATCATGATGAAATAGTCAACTAATGGTAGTGAGGTTCACTGTCCAGTGACACACGTACGCTGAAACTATCATCATCGTATTTCAGACTAAAAAAGTCCAAAGACAGTCTACTACTGAAGCCAGTTTCTTAAATAAATAAAGAATAACGTTTGTGTAATGATAAAATAATAAAAAAACCGTTATATTCTATTTAAAATAACGACTTTTCTATAATTAAAGTTATTTTAGTAGAGAGCGCTGCTGCCCAGTGTCTATCAAATGTGTAGTCCTTTAGGTGGGTAACCGGTTGGGGTTCGGGGAGAGTAGGTGCCTCCAACATTTTGAATAGAATATAACTGTTAAATAATACTACATATTCAAATAATTCTAAAAAGAAAACGGGAGTTCCTAAAAACGCCTCCAAACGACTTTCTTTTTAAATTTGTATAATCGGAAATTTAGCTAAAATCAAGCCGGTAGATCTACCAAAGCTACCACGCTGTGTTGCCAGTGTTAAATTTCATTGATTGTCAGTAGAAAATCGTGAGGACGCGTTTTTTTTTCATAACGACAATAGTTTTAATGAGCTTTAAGTAAAGGGTTTTTTTTCTTATGTTTTTTGAAAGTAGTGTTGCGTATTTAGCCAGTCTAGTTAGATTTCAGTATAAATAATGTAAACCTGGTTCTTAGTAGGTGCCTTTCGATACTAATAGATTTGTATCGCTGTACAAAATATATGAGATTGAGATTAGCCTCGTGATTGTCACGTCTTGTGATGTGGTTATTAGACATCAATGATTGTAAATTTGGAATCAATCTGAACAGCGATCAGCGCTGTAATAAAAGTAATACATGTAAAAATAATTACCTTAAAATTCTGTGGTAAAATAATATGAAAATGACTGTAAAACATTGTATATTGTGAATGTCTGTTTTTGACTTATTGAAGACTCCAATTCTGTCTACCCGATATTTATCATTCCTATGATGCTCAATTATATGAAGCAATTGTTCACATATCATTTTTAATATATGAGCCTACTTTTGTCTTTAAAACCGTGTGGAATATATAAAAAAACCTTTTTCAATTACTTCTCTATTGACTTATTGAGGGTTTTGGTGACAATTAAGAGATGGCGCTAGGCGGCTAAGGGTATGTTAGTCCAATCAACTTAGTTGTCACAAGTTGACTGACTGATGACTTGATATTAGAAAATATTATATTTGTCTATAGACCTTCAGTGGCGCGAAAACTCCTCATTTTTATTGAGTAATTGTTCAATACAATTCTACTTTTAGAAGTCAATAGATGAACGAATGAGAATGGTTCTAAGTTATTATAATCATGTTATTTAACAGTTAATTAATGCATTTATTTGTAAACAACACATATCTTTTAATCTTCAGTTAACATGTAACTGAAATCTTTTTCTTTGACTTTTTTTGAACTATCGTCTCGAGTTTGACAGATCGCTTGAATATTTAAACGTCGAGTTCTATATTGAACCTCTTATTTGTATATAGTTTTGACCATTCCTTGATTACCATATTATAAACCAAACGTTAAGTCAGTTTCATTCTTTTTAATGTTTTTTTTATTAATGCAATTAACTTTAATTATGACTTATGGATATTTTGTGTATTATTGTACAACCGTGTATCATCATAATAGGTATCGCCTTTATTTTCTATGTAATAAGTATGATTTTTTAATATCAATGTGTAACTACTGATGTACGGTTGATGGGCGCTGCGTTTGTTCGAGAATACTGTTCTTTATTTGGTTGAAAATGAAATAATGTCAATTCGTTAGTATTTATTTAACAGTGTATCAATTTTTTTCATCGTTAACAATATGTGTAATCAAATTATAAACCCTAATACCATAGTAATAAAAGCTAAAATGTTGAAAAACTCGTCAAGCGCAGTGATAACCTTATTTATTAACTCATAAGACATTTTTTTATAATAAATAATAATTTAATACCAAAACAAGGTGACCAGTTTGACAAAAAGCAAAACAGACTATTAAAGCCAAATCTTGTAGTATTTAGTGGAGAAAATTGTATATAAAGTATGAATGTGAATTTTAATATGAAACTGAGAGAGTGCAAATTGCAATAACAATGTAAAATTTGTAAAATATTGATAAAATGTTTGTATATTGCTGACACTTTGATTGTCTTAAGGATGTTTTGTTAATATGCAAATGTTTCGTCGTCATTTATATAATTTTTTGAACAAAAATAATGTATCATGTATAAATTCTGAAATTATTCAATAGCTAACTTCGTAAACTGCATTTCAATATGGCCGTTTGACTTGACAGATCTTTTCGCGGGAAATGTGAAAAAAGTGTTTTTTTTTTCTTTAACTTTCTCAGTTTTACATTAATGAATGCGGCCAAGTGCTATGTGATATCGTGTTTTTTTTTTATATTTTTCAAAACTTGGTCATGTACAGCATTGTCGTCTAGTCTTTAGTAATTTATTTTTTCTTTTTTTATTATTATTAATTTGTGAATCAAGCACTCAGTACGATGTTGGAGATTAGATTAAGTTTGAAATAAAAATGGTTATCGAACATTCTTTTGTGTTTTTATTACCCTTTTAAAACTATCAAAAAAGACTGAAGGTTAAAAAATAGTAAAATGAAAATCTATAATTAATTGTCCGTACTGGACATGAACATGAAGCTTATGCTAGATAAGTAACTATAAATGCCATATTTATTCTTATTGACACTCACACAATAATAATATCATTCATACAAATACGTGCTAAGATTCCAAACCTAGTAAGGAAAAAAAATATAACAATATTGACAGTATTTTGAAATAAACTGAAACATTGGTAGATTTTTTTATTTTACACTGGCAACCCAAGTATTACATACTACTAGCGACATCGAGTAGTAAAATCTGGAACTACGAAGACCTCATTTGCTAAAAATGATACATACTAATTTTATGCTAAAAAACGACTTATTAAATTAGGTACGTTATTTAGTAGTAACCAAGTATTAATAAATATAACTGACTAGTGATACAAATTAATTATATTATGGAAAATATTAACCGTTACAATATTTTTCTGAACGATAAATAAATACGACGCTTTATATTGAAAATTGGTCCAATCATAGTACGTTTAACTGTAACATTGTAAATTAATCAATTTAGTCCTTATCGTAATGCAATAAAGCGTCAATTTCAACAACAATGAATTACAATGCGACATCGAATGCGCGTACGTGAAGCTTGAGGTAGTGTTGTCCATGTAGTATTTTTTGTGCACAACAACGATTGTTAGTAAATCGATTAATATTAAAAATGGGTAATCGTAATTATTCTAAATTATGGCTTCTAAATAAATGATGACTATGGTTTAAAATAATGAATCTAAAAGACATTTAAAACAATTGTCTTTAATTAAAATTATCTAATAATTTTCGATAGCAATCCATAAATAATGGGACGTTTACGACCGAAATTAATAATAACCTGTAAATATGGATCGATTTTTGACATTAGTTAAAAATCGATCTTAATCCACAGATTTTTAACTAATAGGTCCTTAATTACTGCCCTTTGGTAAATGCAATGTACTTAATACCCATACAGTTAAAGGTCATTAATAAGTAAGTAACATGAATTACATTGAGAACGTTTACAATGTCTAGATTTCAGATAAAAGTGCATAAACAATATTTTAATGTCATTTTTCAATAATTAAATTGAGTATGTATGTACTTTATTGAGTAAATAAAAAGTCTTAAAGAATCGATAATTAATCGGAATATTACCGAAGCGAATAACTCATCGCTTACCGCACTCGAATCGTCGAACGAAACTCGGCGTGCCCCGTCACTACACAAAGAGAACTTGTTATGATTATACGGGTGTACTTACCATAACCTTTTATTTTCATGTTTCGCTATAATTTTAACTAAGAAACAACAAAAATCACGCAGAAACGCCATTAATGTGAACTAAATAACATCTTTTTGCCGTGTGGATTGTAAAAATACAGCAAAAGGTTAGTGTTTCATTCAAAATAAGTACATATTAATATAATTAGATCACCCCGATATGCTAGTGTGCTGTTATTTCATGAGAAGTCTTATTGTTTCTTGCATTTATGAATTACAACGCCATTTTGTGGCCCCTACAAGCTATTTATGTGTTAATTTCGCGAAGTTTTGTGTTAAAATATCAAAGTTTTGACTTACGATAGTATATTTTTCAGTGTTGACTTTTTAAGAAGCGTCTATAAGGTGACGTCTGTGTTTGTGAATAAAAGTTTGTATTGTACTCTTTTCTCTACGTTTTGCTTTGTTTTTTAACGTATATGTTGCATTTTATAAGTGAAACATACTTAATTGTAATTGACACGGAACTTATAATGTATGATTCATAATTTCGTAACATTTTTTCTATGAAACCGCTATTCGTCGTTCGTGAATTTAGTTGTTTGTATAACCGTAAAAAAACAATGGCAGGAAACTGCTTTCTTTTAACATCGATCTAAATGTCTACTTAACACATTATACATATTACATTCTTATCTTTATATTTTCGAAGTAAAACTTGTGTCATAGTCTTACCACTAGGATTTTCGCGCAAAAAAAACCGGAATGTGAAGAATTTGAAAATAGAACAATTTACCCTATTTTTTTATTATTATTTTTTATTTCTTTTACAACCTCCTTGTAGGTAAATTCATTCTTATTGTGTCAATATTTGATTCTTCACCCATGGATTTTAATTATTTTTAATTAATCATTAGATAATGAGGTTAAATAACCTAAATAAGTGCCTTAAATAGATCTTTAGACCTCATTACAATAAAAATAAGTAATTAATTAACGAAAAATACTTAATAATCACCAAAATGAAATTATTTAAAGTTAGTAATATAATTAAAATGGCTCATAGTGTAGTATACCATCTACAAGAGAGTTGTGTGTTCATTAAAAAAGTGTTCAAATGAAAAAAATAATCATAGCCAGAAAAATGAATAAACAAACAGATAATACTGCAGATCAGGTAACTTTTTTATTTTGTAATACCTCTTTCATAAAAAATGTGAGAATCAAATTGGGCCTGGTATATGGCAATGGGCTCACCCCCTATTACATGGGACTTATAACATAAATAGTGAAAAGTGGGTGTTACATTGTACAGTGGCATGAAGTGCCATAATGTACACCTCTGCCTATGCCTTCGGGGATAAAAGACGTAATATATGTAGTTAATAATGTAAAACAAAGCTTCAATTCAAAATATTTTTTCTTATTTATTAGCGGAACAATCAGCAAAGTGCTGTTTGATTTTTACCGACTTCAAAAAAGGAGGAGGTAGTATGTTCGGCTGATTGTTTGTTTTTTAAGTTGTTCTTTCTGTATATTTATTAATAAATAATAATAACTTTATTCACCAAATAAAGGAAGTTACACAGTTTAAACTGTCAAGCACCAAGCGGTCACCGGTGACCGCGACCTATTGTTCTTTAATTGTGTCTATAAAACCGGTACTCGACGAGTTAAAGCATATGAGCCAGTAACAGATTTCATATATGTATACAGTTATTGTGTCCTTGCTGTAGCTTCTGTTGCTGAACTAGGTTTATGACCTGTATTTCAGCAATCAGTGTCTCTACCCTTGGAGATTATACAAAATAATTGTACACAAAACATAATTGTGATAAAGAAATACAATGAAATCGATCTGACTTAGTTTATACTTCTTAGCAATTTGATTATTTACGGCTTGGCAATTAGAGTTTTACAGCTGGATCTAATATTGACTTGGACTGAAGCACCCACTTCGGACCACATCCCATGAATAAACAATCATCTGAACATAGTACCTCCTCTTTTGAAAGTCTATAAAAATAACAAATATTAAAACCGATTGAGTCGTAGTGTACCGGGTTGCCACAGGGACGATACTAGCGACCTCTACTATTCCAAACTCTTTTGCCAAGCTGTACAATCTATTTTTTGTGTTTATATCTACTTTGAATTCTGCTTGCTACTGCTCTTTACTAAATAAAAACTCAACTTAAAAAATAAAATATAAAAGCCGTTAATTTTAATTTCTTTTTCTTGTTAGTGTTACCTAGTGTAAATTGGGTATTTTTCTTAATCAAGAATTCGTCGAAACTTGTCATTTCGACTGTTCAATACAATAATATATTAAAAAATAATCTAATTGATTTTATGACCAAATTAATTTTAGTATTTTTCCAGCAATTTTTTAAGAAATAAGTATGCAGTTTGACGCTAAAAAAACGTGACGTCACAATACACAATCTCGTACAAAATTCATAGAACACTCTCGTTTTTGACAGTTCGAAAAAAGTATTGAAATTGACTAGTTGGCAAGTACCCAATTAAAATCTTAAGAGTTAATTTGTTGTTCGTATTGGTTAGTTTGCATCCTGTAAGAACCCCAATTGGGTAAAGGCCTCCTCCAAAGTATTCCACTTGTCTACCTTGTGCTACCATAGTCCTCTAGATCCCACTATTCTTTTTAATTTTGTTAAGGCTCAAGTTATTATTTTTTTAATAAAACTTTGGCCCGATATTTGATTTTCTCCTGTGTCACTAGCACACTTACAAATATAAATTTTTTACAAACATCATACCCGGACCTAGAATTAGTTTTTGGCGATCATACAATGAAGGCCATATGGGAATCGAACCCGCGACCTCAGCCTTTTGCTCAGCCACTGCGCCAACCATGTATTAATATTACTTTGTGTGATCCACAAATTATTGTTTCGAGTCTGGGTGTCATTGTGTATGTGAACAAGTTCATGTTTGTAAACGCACCCACGACACAGGAGAAAATCCTAATGTGGGGCAACGTTTTTTTTTAAATAATATAATAATAATAGCTAGTGTAATGTATGTCGGATGATTGTGTTTGTAAACGGCACAGGCTGAAGGGATTGGGGTGAAACTTAGCACAGGAATAGATTATGGTTCGGAATAAAACATACTCAATTCTCTCCTGATGTCAGCACCAGAGTATGATTTATTTGCAACTAGCTTTTACCCACGGCTTTGCTCGCGTCACAAAAGGATAAAAAGTAGTCTATGTGCCATATACCAATACATACAGCGCCATCTATACCAATACTTTTGTTTTCCCTCGGGAATATCCAATTTTTCCGTGATAAAAAGTACCCTATTATTTAATCCAGACTTCTAACTTCACGTCTGCAAAAATTCAAAGCAATCGGTTTAGTAGTTACGGCGTGAAAGTGGAACAAACAAACATACTCACTTTCCGATTTATAATATTAGTAAGGACATTTAATTACCTAATTATTTTGTTTTTTAGTACCTAAATAATAGTATTTATATAAGATTAACAATACAACTTAACGGCGTTAATTATAGCGTTGTTATATATGTAAATTTTCTAAATAAATAAATAAATAGGCTGCTTTTTTTGCCACGCCGATGTGGACAAAGCCACGGGCAGAACCTATTAACTTATTAAAAATATAATGAAATATTAATTATCTATCTTCTTTAAAATTACAGATGTTCTGCGTCCAAGAAAAAGAAAGAGCATCATTCTCATCAGACAAAGACCCGTTAAGTATAACTCAAACAGACTCCGAAGAGGATGAACCGGAAGCAAAAAGAATAAAATACTCCCCGTTGAACCTGCAGGTCTACCAAATACCAACATTCAACACACCGAAGTCACTATCCATATACCCAACGAATACACTACCAAATTTTGTGAACAATCCATTAAACCTAGCCAATCCGTTGTCCTTTGCAACGACAAGACCACAGAATGGGGAGGCTTTAGTAAAAAATTTACATAATAGATACTCCTTGCCTGCCAAGTTGACTATAACTCCAGTTGTCAATGGTGAAGTTGTTCGGTATAAGAAAAATGGGGAGATTGCCAAAAAACGTGGGCCTCCGAAGGGGTACAAGAGAAAACCTAAGGCGGAGAAGCTGGAGCTGTCGCAGAGTTTCAATGGAAATTTGCAGGTAATTATTTACCCGTTGAAATTCATCCCCTAAATTTGTTCATACAAAAGTAGTCTTTAAGCATTCGAAATAAGGTCTATAATATAGGTAGTGGAGAGCGGTCACCGGTGACCGCTTGGGATTCTATGGGTTAACTAGCTTTTACCCGCGGCTTCCCTCGCGTCACAAAAGGATAAAAAGTAGCCTATGTGACTATACATCCCCTCAACTATCTTCAGTTAAAAAATCACGTTAATTAGTACCTCCGTTCTGCCGTTAAAGACAGGCAAACAAACAAATAGCTTTCCGCTCGCGTGGAATTCGGTTATATCGCGTTATTTAGATTTTTGCAATAAGTAGGTAATTCGTTGACTGGTTTTAAAAGACATACAACGCCATCTATACGATTAAACACACAGCGCCATCTATACCCATATTTTTGTTTTCCCGCAGAAATATCAAATGTTTTCCGGGATAAAAAGTACCCTATTATTTAAATCGGACTTCTAATTTTACGTCTGCAAAAATTCAAAGCAATCGATTTAGTAGTTACGGCGTGAAAGCGGAACAAACAAACAAACTCACTTTTAGATTTATAATATTAGTAAGGAAGTAAGGATTTATGCATCATGCCTGGTGCTGAATAAATGTTTTTTCTTTCTTTCTTTCAAGATTGACAAGCCGTTACCTATATGTAAACTAACCACCAATTTCCCTACATTACAGTCAACAGCACTCCAGACTCAGAATACCATACTATCAAGCCTCCTAGCCGCGAACAACACAACTATAACGGGCGTCGCAGTGCCAACACCCATACTGCCTGCCCCGGAACCTGTACAGGAGATCAAGGTGCCTGAAGGTAAGATACCACGACATCACAGAAAACTTCTTTTTTTTAAAAAAAACGTTGCCCCACATTAGGATTTTCTCCTGTGTCGTGGGTGCGTTTACAAACATACAAGTTCACATACACAATGACACCCAGACCCGAAACAACAATTTGTGGATCACACAAAGTGTTGTTCCGTGCGGGAATCGAACCCACGACACGTTGCACGGCAGCCGGTTGTCCAGCCACCGCACCAACCGTGCAGTCTAAGTAATAAGTAAGTTGTTGAACTCCATAAGTTGTGGTGGCCCAGAGGTTTAAGATGCCCGCTTCTCATGCATGAGGGTGCGGGCTCGAAACCTACCAACGGCAAGTACCAATGTGACTTTTTCAGAGTTATATCTACTTTCTAAGATTATCTAGACACCACTGACAAACGGTGAAGGAAAACATCGTGAGGAAACCTGGGCTTATAATTTCTAATTATAAGTTTGAAATCGCCAACCCGCATTGAGCAAGCGTGGTGATTAATGCTCAAACTCTCTCCGTGTGAGAAGAGGTTTTGCTCAGCAGTGGTCTACTACACCATGGTTCAATTCGCGTTATTTTTATAGGATAAGCCGGTAAACGAGCAGTCGGATCACCTGATGGTAAGCAATCGGCGTCGCCCATGGACACCTGGAACACCAGAAGCGTTATAACTGCGTTACCGGAATTTTAGGAATTAGGAATTTGAAGATTTTTTAAGAATTACGGGATTGGGGAGGTAGAGGTCTCCAGTAACCTCTCTCACACGACGAAACACAACGCAAGCGTTGTTTCACATCAGTTCGGTAACGGTAACGGTTGGTGCGGTGGCTGGGCAACCGGCTGCCGTGCAACGTGTCGCGGGTTCGATTCCCGCACGGGACAACACTTTGTGTGATCCACAAATCGTTGTTTCGGGTCTGGGTGTCATTGTGTATGTGAACTTGTATGTTTGTAAACGCACCCACGACACACGAGAAAATCCTAAGGTGGGGCAACGTTTTAAAAAAAAACTTATTGCTCTATAACATTTTGTTAGATAAACGAGTTAAATGGTGTGTTTTACATCTTCCAGGTACAGAGCTGGTGGAACTGCTGCTAGACCCTGAGGACTGGTTTCCGACGGAGCCCTATAAGATGGTGTTCAGTCGCAAGAAGAACCCCAAATGGAAAAACTTCCCTTACCAGTGTGAACACTGTTTTAAAGTAAGTAAATGTACATTTCATAAATATGTTCCTTTAGCTTTTACCCGCGGATTTACCTACATATTCCTGTTTATCCCATAAGAGCATGTAATCAGGATGAAAAGTATCCACAAACAAATTAAGTTCCACATTTATACATGTGGTATAGATGTACATTGGTATAGATGGCGCTGTGTGTATTGGTATATATCACATAGGCTACTTTTATACTTTTGTGACGCGAGCGAAGCCGCGGGCAAAAGTTAGTAAAAAACTAAATGAAAGTTCATGATGAGGTCTTTCAGAGAGAGAACCACGCAAATGTCTACCCAATACGAACCCTACTATATACAAAAATTCCTTTTTTTCCAGGGTTATCGCGTAGCCTCAACACTAATAACGCATGCGGCGGAGCGCCACGGTTGCGTGCCGAAGGACTTCGCGATCCCTTGCCCATGCTGCCCACACGTGTCCACGCGAAGGAAACATCACAAGAAACATCTGGAAACCCATGAGAGTCGGAGACATAGGATATTTTGTCTATACTGTCTACCACCACGTGAGTATAACAGTCTTATATTTCTAGTACATAACATCATGCCTGTTATCCCTAAGGGTAAGGCCGAGGTGCACATTACGACACTGGATGCCACTGTACAATGTAACACTCACTTTTCCGTGACGCGGGTTCGATTCCCGCACGGAACAACACTTAGTTTCTGGTCTGGGTGTCATGTGTATATGAATTTGTATGTTTGTAAACGCACCCACAACACAGGAGAAAATCCTTTGCCCCACACGGGCAAAGTTTTTTAACAAAAAAAATGTTATGAGTTCCATGTAATTCGAGGTGAGCCATAAACCGGGCACACTTCCAGACTCCTTGCTACTACTGAGGTTTTTTAAATAACCTAGTACCTGATACTTGTCCGACCCGAGAATCGGTCGGCTCTGCGACCACTCAGCCAACGAGGCAGTCAGATCAATACATACAATATTATGTTCTAAAAATTTCCTTTCTCATATTGCAGACGATCCATCAGAACCATTCGTAAAAGAACCGCAGAAATACCCTTTCGACAAGTATCCTCAATTCTGGTATGCGTCCGAAGAGTCTCTCCGGCTCCATAAGAAAAGGAAGCACCCTTATTCCGGCATGTTTAACGTAAGCTGGTTTGGCACGTGGCGAGACGCAGTCCCTAACAGCTAAAACAAGGTATTTTAGTAGTATTTTAACCCCCCACACTGGCAACACTCAGTATTTTTATACAACTTGGTAGCTTTTAATTTTTTACAACTGGCAACTTTGGTAAGATAGTGATTGTTTTTTGACAGTTTTTTTTTTAAATTTTTGTACGTAATGTATGTATTGTTTTTTAAGGATGGCAATATATGTAATGTAGTGTGGTAGGATTTTTGTGATCGAAAGAATTGTAATTCCAAAATCGAGTGATATCATAATATGGTAACATTATATGTATTTGTAATTCGTATTTTTGTTGGCAACATTAATTTTAAGAACATTTTTAATATGATTTTTAAAAGACTGCTGATTGGGAATGGATCGATTAAATATTTTTATTTTGTCCATCAAATTAGATTATTAAAATATTGAAGTCTACTGGCTCAAACATAACTTATAATTATTTATCCGGCAGCTGTAGCCAAATGCCATTTAGCGCTTGTCTACATGTAGAATAGAAAACCAAATTATATGGGATTGACGTAAATTTTGACACTTGTCAGTATCATCCCCATACATTTAGTTTTCTACCATCAACATATACTAATGGACATGCCGTACGCGTATAATCTGCAGTAAATTTTTGGTTTGAAAAGAGTGAGAGAGATGGCCTATGCTTTCGGTCTAGCGCTATCTCTTTCTCGCTCATAACGTCTTAACTACGGTACTATTTTGTAAGAGATAAAGATAGACCGAAACTTCGTTTCCTCTCTTTCTTTCGGAGTGCCACAATTCTCATCTCTAAGTCATGCCCATTAGTATATGTCGATGATTTAGCGCTTGTCTCCATGTAGAATAGAAAACCAAATTATATGGAATTGACGTAAATTTTGACACTTGTCAGTGTCATCCCCATACATTTAGTTTTCTACTCTCTCTGTAGACAAGCGCTAAAGTGGCGTTTGGCTAAAGGCACTGGTATAGCTTTGATAGTAATTGAGCATAAAGTTCACTTTATCATTTCAACTGATATCATCGTATGGCCTGTTTCACCAACAACCCCTAAACCATCTCTTAACTACGAGTTACTTACAGTGACGTAACACTTAAACTCCGTACTTACTGTTAGGTGTTACTAAAGCCAAAATGGCGTCAGTATCACCTATCTTAGCCAAGTGGTTCCATAAAATTTAGGAGAGGTTGGTGGAAACTGGCTTTTGTGTCTTACATTTTAATTATTTATACTGATGGACTAAAATATATTAATTTTTCATACTATAAATAGGGTAGATGCCTAATTTTTATTCTAATGCCCGTCTGGTAGATTATTTTAAATCATTAGACACGTATTTTTTATTTTCTTACAGAATCGAATACTTTCGACGATATATTGATTTGAAATATCGCGTGACGTCACGTCTATGTACATTTTATACGTAGAAATGACGTTTTAGCCCCCACTCCTAAACTTTGATTCGTTTTATTAAGTATTTTTTTATTAAACGACAAAATAAAAAAAATACGTGTCTAATAATTTTTCATTATCTAACTTAGGTACGGACTAATTAGATTTTTAATTTTCATACCCTGTCATCATCCCAATTATCATTCCCTTGGTTCAAAATGATTGATAATGATTTATATTTTGCTACACGATTTAAAGCTCTAATACATTGATTTTATGATTGATTTTTTAATCAGATTGCATTATAATTACTGATTATGTGTCATAATAATTTTATCTATATTACCTAATCGAAATTATACATGAGACGCGATTTAAATGATTTTATTGATTAAAGAGGCAATTTAGAACATTTACGAAATGTATTTTAAGCATGCGAACTCATTTTATAGAATACGCAAGCGTAGTTAGAAAGGGATGCACGTATCTGTTAAATATATTGGCATCTCTATTTAACTGTACTTGAAGTAAGTTGCTTAAAAACTAAAAATTATCGTCAAACTACAAAAAATCCTAACAATTTGTGTTCATTTTTTCGCAATGGCAACTCTTTACAAATATTTTTAATAAATGTTGCCAACATTTAGGCCAGTTTATCGGTAATGTTTATATTATACATAAAAATAACGACGTAGTATTATTTTGTATGACTATTTATCCGTATGTACGCTGTAAACTAGAAAACTAATGCATTTACTATAAACTTAGGCAGCTATCATAGTTTTTAAAATAATTTAAGATAAATCTACCAGTTATAAAAATATTGTCCTTTTAATGGCGTTTCAATCTGTACTAATATAAAGTTGAACGTTGAAAGATTTCTTGGTTTAATCGCGCTAATCATTGAAACTCCATCAGGTGATCCGTCTGCTCGTTTGCCTCCTATTCCATAAAAAAGGTTCAAGTGTGGGAGAGCCATGCTTCGGCACGAATGGGCCGGCTCGACCGGAGTGATACCACGGCCTCATAGAAAACCGACGTGAAGCAACGCTTGCGTTGTGTTTCGTCATGTGAGTGAGGTTTTCGAATGCCTAATTACCCTCCCCTTCCCCAACGATCCTCAAACTCCTAATCCCCAAATGGCCGGTAACGCACTTGTAACGCCTCTGGTGTTCCAGGTGTCCATGGGCGACGCCGATTTCTTACCATCAGGTCATCCGTCTGCTCGTTTACCGGCTTATGTCATACTATCCAATTAAATAATGTCTGTTATGTCTCCGTTTTTATAATAACTATCGTGAAACATGCTAAGTTAACTATAAATCGCGGGTTACTCACGTGAATATACTGAGAAAAGCTCTACTAGTTTCGAACCACAGAGGGGTTCTTCCTCATGAGCAGCGTGCGCGGTCGCGGCGATGTCAGTAGACTGCGCGACATCAGTATATTCACGTGAGTACCCCGCGATTTTTAGTTAATTATGTCTCCTGCTGTTCTGGTTCTATTAATCGTAGCAAAATATTTTATAGCCTATAACCGTATTAGATATATGGACTATCGAACACAGAAGGAATCATTTAATTAGGAATAGTAGTTCCGAGGATTAGTGCATACATACAAAGACTCTTCAGCATGATATATATATTGTAACTGGTACATTTGTCTTAAAAAAATAATCATTTAGTGCCTTCTGAGAATGGCTACTGTAATTTTATAGTATTTAATTTGTTTATAGTTCACTTAAGTTTCATAATTCACGCCTATGTTAGCGGGGTAGGCAGAAAGATCCAGTATTAATACTGAAAGGCCGGCAATGGACTTGCAACTTCTGTATTTTTGCGGGAGTCCATGGGCGACGCTGATCGCTTGCCGGTGATCCGTCAGCTCGTTTGCCGGCGTATACCATAATAGCAGAAATACTTTAAACTGTCAAACACCGCGAGGACACCGGTGACCGCAACCTGTTGTTCTTTAATTGTGTCTATAATGACGGTACTCAAAGAGTTAATATTATCAGTATTACTCACATTGTTACGTAAAACTGCCTGACTTAGGATTAGAGCCTAATAAACTGTCTAGTGTTTAAGTCTCACGCTATCCACGGAACATAAAAAGCCGTGATTTTGATTTTTAACTTTAAAATTTCAATTATTATGTTTTTGACTTACTCACGTAACGGTTTGACGAGGAACTCGACTAGTTTCAAGCCATGCTAGAGGCTCATATTCATGACGCGCTGGGCAGGGTGCGCTGGGCCGCACCGCAGACTTGGGTAGCCAGTAGAAGCGCGACAGTCGCATTTAAAAATTTAAGTGAACTATAAGCAAAATACGGGTTTAAATACCCAATCCGCCTGTCCACACCTTTCTTAGATTAAGCGTGATAGTGCACCGCTGTATAACGTATTTTTATATAAATATAGACGTTTTAGACGAACTTAATGAAAAAAAAACAAGAAAAATATCTACAATGTTGTACAAAATGTAACTAGTATTTTTGTAGCTAAACGGTTAATTTGTTAGCGTACGTCAATATGTTAAAATAATTTAAGTCTCAAAGTGACACCACAGTCACAGTCTCAAATTGGCATTACACAGTCTAATAGTAGCATTACAGTCTCACGGTGGCATTACAATTGTCTCAATGTCACTACAAGAATCACATATGGAAATCACAATTGTCTTACATGGCATCAGGTGGTGTCAGAGACGTAACATAGTCTCACAGTGACGTCACAATGCTCTCAGATTGATCATAATACTCAAAGACTTAAATATAGTCTCACAATCATCACAATAGTCCCAAGTAATACAGTAATCCAACAGTGACTACTAGTGAGTCTCATAATGACATTACAAGTCTCTCAGTGACCTCTTATTAATCTCACATCAACATCACAGTAGTCTTATAATGACATCAGTCTCACATCAACATCAACAGTCTCACAGTGACTTCACAAGAGTCTCATATTGGCATTACGAGTCTCTCAGTGACCTATTATTAATCTCACATTAGTCTCACACTAACATCACAACAGTCTCCAAGTAACACAATAATCCCACAGTGACTTCACAAGTCTCATAGTGACCTCTTATTAATCTCACAGTAGTCTCACACTAACATCACAACAGTCTCAAAGTGACTTCACAAGAGTCTCATACTGACATAACACTGTCACTTAGAGACTAAGACTTAATATTCGTACGTTAAGAAATTAACTTAATGCATTTATTATACCTAGCAGTAGATGGTGTAAGCATGATTAGATCGATTCGGGTATTATGGTATGTACTCAGTACTATTGTAGAAAAGCGTGATGATAATATTAAAAAGGTATAAATATTTCCGAGTCGTACAAAAAGTTTTTGAGGATATTCTTCGATTTTAGTCATTCTCAGTAGTAGCACGGAGTATCAAACTGTGCCCGGTATATGGCAATAGGCTCACCCCCTATTATATGGGACTCATAATATAAATAGTGAGAAATGGGTGTATATTGTATATCTGTCTACCTCTTCCAAGACATTTTATAAAAAAGAAACTAAATTTTCACTTAAGAAACACCCTCTATCAATCATCACACCCTCTATCAATCATCATACCTTTCTACAACACCCTGTAT